GAACATTTCGATCAACAGATCTTCCTCAGGCAGTTTGTGAACAGAGAAAGCATAGTGCTTTTAACAGAGATGGCAGTCAGTCAAAATCAACAACACCTGTCGACTAAACAAGAGAAACACCACAACGCTTTGACATGAATATTTAAAATAGTTAAATGTGAAAATATCAAATGTTTAAAAACCTTAACCAGGCAGAAATATTTGGTAAATATCTAATCCACATTCTGCAGACTGAAGTCTAAGTGTGAACAGGCACAAGAAATCTGCATTCAAGAAACTATATTAAACATTTAACAGAGACAAGAAAAAATGTTACTACAAAAAGCATCCACAAGTTTTTAATGAAAGACCAATAAGGAAAAAAATATTAGAAACTTGTGGATGCTTTTGGTAGTAACATTTTTTCTTGTCTCTGTTGTTTGTGCCTGTCCACACATAGACTCAAGTCTGCAGAATGTGGATAAGATATTTACCAAATGTTCCAAATGTATTTACAAAGGAGAAACAATGGAAAATCCAAAGAAGAGTCTGGAGCACACGAGTCACTTAGTTGCGCATTTAATAGGTGCAAGGACTAACGTTTTGACGACAAGCGTCTTCCTCAGAGTCAAACTTTTGATATTTTCACATTAGCTTAACTATTTTAAATATTGATGTAAAATCTTGTAACAATTCTAATGGGTTTTTTTTCCTGTTTACGTCTCTCTGAGGATGCTCTCGTGGCATTGTGGTGTTTTTCTTGTTTAGTCAACAAGTGTTGTTGATTTTGACTGCCACCTCTGTTAAAAAGCACTGTGCTTTCTCTGTTCATAAACTCCCTGAGGAAGATCTGTTGATCGAAATGTTCCTTTAATAAAAAACAAGTTGTTCACTGGGAGCCCTGCAGTGTGCAGACTTTTCTCTTTGTTCTGCTATGCATACCATTATCCCATATGAAATGGAGACAAAACTGTAAATGACAACGTAACATATCTTGCAATATTTGATACAGTAGATTAGAGTAGTACTAACAACTTCCTGAGATACAGTGCCCTCCAAAAGTATTGGAACAGTGAGGCCAATTCCTTTATTTTTGTTGTAGACTGAAAATATTTGGGTTTGACATCAAAAGATGAATATGGGACAAGAGATCAACATTTCAGCTTTTATTTCCAGGTATTTACATCTGGATCTGATACACAACTTAGAAGATAGCACCTTTTGTTTGAACCCACCCATTTTTCATGAGAGCAAAAGTATTGGAACATGTGACTGACAGGTGTGTTTTGTTGCCCAGGTGT